GTTAATAAAAAACACTCTTGCTCGCCTCGGCTGCAGGAGGCTGGAGCTCAGAATTAATGCTGTGCAGGCTACGCCTGATAGAACAACTCCTGTCTTAGCAGCCCAGAAGCCAGCATCTAATTTAGTTTTCATAGGTAGGATAACAAAAAATATTAAATAGACACAGTGCAAATTTTCTTCCCTATTAAAAACTTTTCCAATGGAATTTAACCAGCTTAATCATGTCTTCTGTTGTCTGAAAACCAATAGCTTTTTTTCTGTTTTTTAGGCAGGCAGTTGTGTAAGCAGGATTGTCTGAGAAATGTCTTTACTTTCCAGCAACTGAGCTGCAGCAGAACTGCTGTTAAAATACATCCCACTGTACTGCACATCTGAACTGGGGACCACAGGACAAGTCACAGGGAACACACACGGTCAAGTTAAGTTCTTGGGTTTTGTAAGCAAAGGGCACACGATGTCCTGACTTGAGAGCTGAGACCAGTGTTCCCAGATGTTCTACTGAAGAAACAACAGCCACAGAAAAAAGCCATTCAGCAGCCAAACAAACAGAAAGCCCAGGTGGAGCCTGTGCTGTACAGAAAGGGCACACGAGCCGCAGCTGGAAGAAGCTGTAGGCAAGGAGGTTGGAGAGCCAGGGCAGGCGCTGCCATTTGCATGACCTGGATGCTTGACAAATTCCCAGGAATTTGGATTCCACAAGGAACATGATGAACCGGTTCCTCTTTGACCTTACAGCCATCCCGCAGCTGTGTCTGCTGCAGAGCACCCCATCTCAAGACACATTTCCCAGCAGAGAGCGAACATAAGGAGCAGCATTTATGGCTCCTGAGAAGGGCAGGGATTCTCCAGCCTCCACGGCCAGCCGAAGGAGCGAAGGCTGCGAGTGAGCCGGAGGTCTAGCACCTGTAGCGGGGGGAAGGATGGGAAGAGAAAAGCTGGCCTGAGGGCCCTGGGCATTTCAGATTCCTAGATTTTCCACTGAATGCTAAAGACAAAGCAAATATATATTTTTTTAAGGCAATAAGTTCACTTTCCTCCCCTGTCCCAAAGCCTTCTAGATGCCCCTCCAAAGGCTCAGGTTCTGAATATTTCGCATATGGCTGGGAAGGTCTCCGCAGCACCAATGGTCTCCTGGGGCACTGCTGCATCTTTCAATACCAACGCGGTATTACAAGCCATGCAGGCTTAGGCAGGCTAGTGGAAGGAAAGCTATGCAAAACATGCCCTAGCAAAATGCAAAGGCATCTCAGATTACCTTCTTTGGAGCGATTTTGGGTGGTTACATAAATGCAGACTAAGTTCTCTGCAAGAGTTTGCGGGAAAGGCACTGGCTGCTCCAGCCACCCCTGTGCTAAGAGCAGCCCTGGCCTTTCCTCCACCTCCTGCTCTGGGGGCTGCCGGCTCCTTGCAGGGGCTGGGGGCTTTCCAGAAGCCCCTGTTTTTTTTTAGCGCCATTGGACCCGGCAAGCCCCCTGCTTCCCCTGCCCCTCTCCCACGGCGGGGCGGCGGGGCAGGTGGGATCCTGCGGCAGTTCACAGCTCCGAGCTGGAGGTGCCGCCGGGTCTATTCAGACACGCTTTGCGTTGCCAGCGGAGCGCAGCCCCGGCTGCTGAGTCACCATCCTTCCCGAATCTTTCCCTCCGGCAACTGCTTGCTCTGATTGTGAGACCCAGAGGCTCGGTTTAGCCTACAATAAATCATAAGCGCTTCGGCTTGAAAACCTTCATGGCCACAACCTGGGAGGAGATGCCCGTGGGGCGCGCGGCAAGCTGCGCTGCCGGATGCCGCAGCACTGCCGCTGCACCCTAGAGCCCGGCGCGAACTGCCCGTCCCCACGACAGAAGAGCCCCGCGGCTGGAGCACGCCAAGCCGTCGCGTCTTGAGAAGCAGAGCGCAATTAGGGATGTGGCTGAGCCGCTCTGCAGAGACAGGGGGGATGGAAATTAATCCTCCCATTAATGTATGAAATGGAGCGTTTGCGTTTCACGAAGCAATTATACAATAATAGCAGGAGAGCTACGATAGAAATCGCATCTTGTCTGAAGCTTCACTCCAATCCAACACATGAATAATTCCTCCTAGGCATTACTGGGAAAGCAGTATTAAAAGACCGATACACACAAAAATTACTGGAAAAAACAGATGAGGCATGCTTCATCTCTCAGAGTCGAACGCAACTAAATTTATACGAAGTGGGCAGAGAAGCTTGAAGGGACAAAGACATTTGTTACTGCTCAGTGCAAGATGAGCTCACAAGAAAACGCATGCTTCATCTTGGCAGCTTTCTGATGTCTTACTCCTAAAGCATCAGCTTTATTCTCGGTTTCCATGGCAGATACTTTTCTGAGCTTCTATCTTCCACAAATATTGCTAATTTATTCTCTCAGCCATGTCTCTGCAAATACCTCCATGTGCAATAACAGCAGTGAAAACCAGGCGTATGTTAACACGCCTCAGCTCTTGTTTTTGGCTAGGGCAAACCACGCCTTGCAAAAGGAGGGCTTGTTTTCTACAGCCGCAAGATCACACCCGATCTTCTGGCACTGCTTTTTCCCCAAGTACTCTGAAACTGTATTATCTGCCCAGTGAAGCAAAGTACCTTCAGCATTTCAGCCACACCTGCCCTTTCACAGGCAGGTTGCCCCGCACAGTGCTCGGGCAGCACTTCGCACCTGAGCAGGAGGGGACGGCGATGAGCATGGCCCTCCTTCCTCCCGCTCCCCCTCGCACTTCAACTTAACGGGAGTCTCTCAGACATGAGGCTTTTTCACAGGCAGAGACCCAGGAGCCAGACACATCAAAAAGCTCCTATTTTCAGGGAGGATTTACCAGCCTTGAAAATGTTGAGCAAACAGTGGCTGATGTGTAATTCTCACAAATTCAGCAAGACTACAGCAAAGTGAGAGGCTTTTAAGTCTTGCTGGCAGAAGGAGAACCACGGGGTTTTGCAAAGTAGTTGTTTATACACTAAAGCACATAACAGCCAGCACATCGAAAGAAATGTGGACAAACTTGTAAAACGTAACCAATGACCCAGAACCGCAATGGCAGCAATGCAGAACCGGCGGAAAAAAATGGCAGGCACGTGCAGGGAGAGCTCCTGGGGGTAACAACGGCGTGCAGTACAGTCCCGGCAGGCATGGGGAAAGCCAGACCTCCGGCGGGATGCGGGTGAATGCCGGGCACCCGGCTGCGCCAGCGCGTGCCCAGCACTTAGGGATGATTCCCTAAATCCCAGGTAGGAGTGCAGGCAAACACCGAAATGCAGCCCACTAACGGTAAATGCTTGGCGAGCCCCGGCCAGCTGGAAGCCCATGAGAGCCTGGATGGGGCTGGGACTGCCGGTCGTTCTGGGGCCGGGCAGCGGCCGGCCCCGCTCCGTGCGTTGCCGGGCGAGCAACAGCTCCCAAGTAGCCCCGTTCTCTGCTCGGTGCCCGCACGGACGCCTGGCACTTGGACTTCAGGCGCTCTTACTGCTGCTGTGGCTACCGCTGGCCGCAGGCGAGGGCTGGGGCTGGGCTCAGGCACTTCCCCTCACTCTGTCCGAAGGAACAGAAGTTTTAAAGGGCATGTGGAATGACAAGCAGCTGGGTGATGTTACTTTGGATCTGCTCCCCACTGCGGTCAGAGACCACCTCCACAGCTCTCCGGTAAATAAGGGAAACCCCCTGGGGCCACTGGTCAAACTGGCATGGGGACGAGAGGCTGTTTCTGGAGTTCTTCACGAAGGATGAGTAACAGGGGTCATTGACGCAACCAGTAAACAAGCAGATAGTTTTCCAAACAGTGCCTCTGCAGCATCCGGCTGCTTTTAAGCCATTAACCAAAATACACTTATCTCTGGCTCCCTGGCCTCCAGTGATTTTTGAACCCACTGCCATTCTGGGACAGATTTAGCTGTGCTCAGTAATACCAGATTTCTAAGCCCAGCAGGATGCTCCAGCGGTCAGAGCCAGCCCCCGCAGGCAGCCGTGCCCTGTCCATGTCCTCAGTGAGAGGGAGTCACAGAATCATAGAATATCTGGAGTTGGAAGGGACTCATAAGGATCATCGAGTCCAACTCCCTGCTCCTCGCAAGACTACCTAAAACTAAACCATATGACTGAGCTCTCCTAGCCCAAGGACTTGGCATTGGCCAAGGGTGAGGTGGAGAGCACAAACTCTTTCGGAGCAGAGGAACTGCACCGGTGAGCTGGAAATTAAAGAAAAAGGATGCTTGAAGCAGGAGCAGGGCAACAAACTGATCAGCGCTGTTGCTGCAGCACAACATGCACAGTGGGGCAGAGATTTTTCCTGCTGCCCTGGTGAGAGCATTGCCATGAGCAGCCGGGCAGCTGGGGGGTGTAACATCCCGGGGAAGTCACCTCAGACGACGCTGTGGATCAGCTGCCGTTGGTAACCCCCTTGGCAATTAGAAAATACGGCTTTGTGAGCGTTAAACATGAGCTCTGTCATCTGGGAAGCAGCAGAAAGCATCCCATGCCCAGACCTGAGCAGGTTTTGCTGCGTTGCTGTACTTGGGTCTGATCGAGACCTAGACAAGCGCTTATCTGCACGCACAGGCTCGCAGCTAGCACCTCTTGCTGGTATTGCAGCAGTTCTCACCTGAGTTTTAACTGTTTATTTTATGTTCTGAACGCAGTGCTTTTCCACCTGCAACAAAAGGCCGGGCGTGGAGTTCGAGCTGTACTAGCTTAAAGTCCCGCAGCGATGTCTGAAGTTGTGTGAAGGCTGTTCTGCAGCGGGTCAAAGAAAAACCATCCCTGTCGCAGAAACACAGAAAACTTTTTGCCTCGGCTGCACGACAGGGGAAAGTTGGCAACTTAACTGTTAAACTCGCCTATGACTATTCAGTGTTGACATCATCGTGATCTCATCACTGTAACTTGAGCCCTCCGGCTTTTTCTCCAGACTGCCTTTAAATACCAGTCCTGGGAGCCAGCACAGCACTGATCCCTCTGACTGGACCCCGAGGGCAAACCCAGCAGCAGCCCACATAGATGAAAGCAAAGAGAAGCTACAAAACCCCAGCCATGTCCACGTCCCTGCGAGTGAGCCCCTCGGTCCACGGCTACCGCTTTGACACCGCCCTGCGCAAGAAAGCCGTGGCCAACATCTTTGAAAGCATCAACGAAGAGTCCCTACAGAAACTCTTCAAAAACTCCGGAGACAAGAAGGCAGAGGAAAGAGCCAAGATAATCCTCGCCACCGACCAGGACTTGGAGGAGAAAACGAGAGCATTAATGGCACTAAAGCAGAGGCGAAAAGACAAGCTGCTCCAGTTCCTGACGCTTCGGAAATACTCCATTAAAGTTCACTGAACTGGCGAAGGGAGCAGAAATGGAGGAGAACATTTTGGGACGGGACTGTTTGTGACCTCCTACCACACACGGCATGCTCCGCTGCCCCGCGAGCTGCTCGGGGGACCTGGCAGACCGCCCGCAAGGCTTCAGCCCCACCA